GGGGGGGGGGCGGGGGCTGGAGGTGGGAGCTGGAAGGGTTGTGTTTACTTACCCTCTCCTGCCCTCACCTTCACCCCCAGGGGAGAGAAGCACCTCCCACCAGGGCAGGCGTGTCCCCAGTCCCGCCACTACAGGGTGTCTGACCGAATGCGCGTGTGGCGTATTTTTGTTTGCTTATAAGCTTCACCCGCTCGCCCCCAGCCTGTAGCCTGACTCACCCTGCCAGCAAGCCCCTCGCCCCAAGAAGTCAAGAGCATATTTATTTTCAGAGTGAGAAGATTTATTTCTCCCAGAGAAAGGAAAATCTTGGAAAAGATTTAAAAACTCAGATCTACGTCTGACAGGTTTTTGGTTTTTTTTTAACCCTTGGCATCATCTTCTTTAGAGTTCCTTTCCACGGATTTTTTTTTTTCTTGTGCGTGTATAAAATCAAAACAAAGGGGAAAAACATAGGTTTTTGAAGTTCAGAACAGATTTCTGTACATAGGCTGCCATAAAGGACTTTTTTTTGGGAACATTGTTTCTTGTAGAAACATGTGGGAAGACTTTTTTGCTTATTTCTTTGTACTTCCAAAAAAAACCACACACACACACACACACACACACACACACACACACACACACAAAAGCAAGTCCCCCGCACCCCAGAAAGCAAAGAAGGCATGTAAATAATTTATGGAAAGTGACTGTTGTGACCAGGAGTCATCCTCACCAAGACGGGAGAGCTCCCGGCGGGGGCTGCCCCGACCCTGCAGATGCAGGCCCGGAGCCTCTGGTATCTCAGCTTGTGTCAAGCTTGTTATCATGTAAATTCTGTACAAAGAATTGTTATTTTTCTCTTTTTTTTTTCTGTCGTTGGTGGTTTTGTTGTGTTTTTCTTTCTTTTTTTTTTTTTTTCAATTTCTTTACCCCATGCCCTCTCTGTTTGAGACTATGCCCACCGGTTTCAATCTCCATGAAATCGGTGGCATTAAGACACGGAGGGGGACCTGGGCACAGTGGCAACCTTCTCTTCCTTTTGCGGTTTTCTGCCTCATTGTGCAACTGAGGAAATATTTATTTTTCACATGAGGAAATGTGTAGTTTGTAGAGACGGCCGATTTAAGTTACTTCTGGAGCCCCCAAGGGGCTGTCTTCAGTCTGTCCCCTCCTCCCGTAAAAGAAGCGGGGCAGGGGGAATGTGAGGAAACCAGGGTCCAGGGTCCTGCCGCACCTCTCACTCTGGCCTCACCTTGCCCAACCAGCCTTCCCTAAGGGCGAGCAAGGGCCTGGACCCTCCCTGTCCCCAGGAACCCCCCCCCCCCCGTCCCACCCCTGAAATGGCTTGCAATAGCCAGAAATGTGTCAACTCATTTTTCTTTCAATGCCTTCATTTTCCATGAACAAAACTCTGCTTTAGAAGAATTGGGGGTTTCTGCTTTTTCTTTTTCTTGTCCCTGCCCTCCCCCTGCCTCCCTCCTGCAGCAAAGAAGAGAACCCCTACGTTTTAGGGATGTTTGTGCATATAGACTCTCATCGTACGTAACTTGTTTTGAAGAGAAGTGTTTCCGTTGTGGGTGTGTCTTGCTGTAAATATTTGTTCATATTTTTGTGAATTCAATACTATGTACCATTGTATTATAGTAACTTTTATAAAGCAAACCATAAATACACTGACTTTTCTTACAGATACGCCATCTCCCTTGCTCTCCTCTCTCTCCTTTCTTTCTGTTGGGGGCACACCCTGCTCGCTAAGGAGCGGGTGCTCCGGCAGTCAGGGGTAGGGGTGGAAGGAGCTAGGTGGGCTGTGGTCCATTCAGACCATCTGCTTTTTTAAAAAACATAAATATATTTTTCTTCCACTTTTATTGAGCTGTAATTGACATACAGCACTGTAAGACCAGCTGTTCTTAAACTCTAAGCCTGTAGGTGGATTCTTTGAACTGGGACAAGTCATAGTCAGACTAGACCTTCCACAGCTTTCAAGTTTTCCTTCTAGAACTCTTCTTAAAGCCTTAGGTATCTAACACTGCTAATGGTCTACAATTAAAGGAAACAAGATCGAATATCCTATTTCTATTACTAGAAGATCTTGGAAAGGTGATACCTCAGAAATGATTAACACTAAGGGGACATCACTCTGGTCTTTGAGGCGGGAGGGGGCTGATAAAACAGTCACCAGTTGAGAAGAATTAAATGCATGCAGTGTTGTGGGTATTCCACAGGTTCTGTGCCCCATAGGTCTCAACTCTGCCTGATCCAGTGGTGCGGTAACTGAGGGACCCACAGAGAGTTTGTTAGAAGATGTCCACTTATCTTTGAGAAGGACAGGCTCAGAACCTCAGCAAAAAGCAGCGTGACTGAAAAGAAGTTCACTTCTTACTAAGGAAGCGCAAATTATACCATGATACCACTTCCCCTGTCAAGTGGCAGATACCAGTGTTGGTGAGCGCGGGGTGAGGGGCACTCACGCACCGTTAGCGGAAGCATTAGTTGCTGCAACCTTTAGGAGGAAAAATTACATATTAATGATCAATATTTAAAATGCACATAAACTCTTGGCCCAAATGTTCCACTGTCAGGAATTGAACCTGAGAGCCACGAGCAGGCAAGGATACTCTACAAGGACGTTCTTTGCAGCCTTACTTGCGAGCAAAGAAATGAAGGCAAGGGAGGTGTCTCTCATTGGTGGGCTGTTTTCTTGGAATTGTCCATCCAGACAGGTGGACACCACTAGAGTTGGATTTGTGGGAACAGAAAAGGGGTTGACAGGGCCAGAAAAGAGAAGGTAGGGGCAGCTGCTGGCCATTCGCTTATTCATTTAACCAATATTTATTGAGCACGTACTACGTGCCAGGTACTCCTCTAGGCACTGGGGCTACAGGAGTGGAGAAAACACACTTCCTGTCTTCAAGGTGATTGTGTCCTTGTGGGTGAGTCAGGCAAACATGAAGAATAAATGCTATGATAAGGAGAAAAATAGCTATGAGAAGGGGGTGTCAGTGGGAGAGAGGTGAAATTTTAAACAGGGTGGTCAGGGAAGCCCACTTACCTGACATGTGAACAAAACTCAAAGGACAAAAGGGAGTCAGCCCTGTGGAGACCCGGGTCAAAGGAGATAGGGAGTTAGCCTGTGGAGACCTGGGGGAAAGGTATTCCAGGCAGAAGGAACAGTGAGTGCAAAGGTCCTGTGGCAGAAGACTGCCTGGTGTATTTGAGGACCAGCAAGGAGGCCTGTGTAGCTGCAGCTGAGTGACGGGGAAGGGTGAGTAAAGGAAATGAGCTCTGAGAGGTAGACCTGGTGGGGGAGTGGGGGAGGCAGATGCTGCAGAGCCTTGCAGGGCAGCACAGGGACAACCCAGGGCGTCCAGCCCAAGGCTCACCAAAGAAACACACGTGCAAATCTGAGTTTCCTTCAGCTTTCCTCTCCAACCTGCTGCCGTATTTTCCACCTCGATCAATGGCGTTTCTATCCCACGCCTCCACCCACCACTGCTGCCGCTGGTTACCTAAGCTCAAAGGCTGGAAATCCTGGGCTTCTCCTTTCCCTCAGCTACCAAGGCTGATGGTTCTTCTACGGTATTCAAATGCATCCACCTCTCCCTCTGTCCCTCAGTCCCACAGGGAAAGTCCTCTCTTCACTGCTTCTGCTGTGGGGGCCAAAGCGAAGCCTCAACTCAAGACGTCTGCGTGCACAGAGCAGACGGGACTGTGCTGGAGAGGGGCAGGTGCCAGGTAGACTTGGGTGAGAGCCCCTCCCTCACCCAGGCCCCTCTCCAGAAATAACAAGAGCAAACACATAGCGCTGACGCTGTGCCAGCAACAGTTTTAAACATCTTTGATATCAAACTCACCGTAGTGCAGGACTCCCCTGGCGGTCCAGTGGTTAAGACCCCGTGCTTCCACTGCAGGGAGACTGGGGTTTGATACCTGGTCGGGGAACTAAGATCCTGCATACCACTCAGCCACAAACAAACAAACAAAACGAACAAAAAACAACCACCAAAATACAGTAGCGCTAGGAGGTATTATCCTTATTTAACAGACAAGGGAAACCGAGGCACTGAGAGATCAAGTAGCTTGCCCAAGACCACACACAGCTAGCAAGCGGCTGACCAGGTAGTGGGGCTCCCTAGTCTGTGCTCAGCTAATGAGGGTCAGCTCTGTCCATGCCCCA